AGCTCTAGCACCCTTTCACCACCAAGCTATCATGCCAACAGAATGAGACACGTGGGCTGGGATACAGCCAGGTTACCCAAGCGTAGACAGGAGCAGTCGAGATGTTGAGGAGGTTGGGTTCAAACCAAGGACCTTCCGGTCGGCAAGCCGGCGCCTTAACCACTGGACTATCTCTTGCTCGTAACTCACACCTTATCGATGACGAGATGACTGGTATGATGACACAATTGATTTTCTTTTGTATGGATGTTTCAAGGTCATTTGCGAAACATGGTGTGCACAAGAGGTCACAACCAGCTCCCTCTGATTAACTCGGAAACATGCTGCCGTAAAAAGAGATCAAGCCTGATTCAAGACTCCTAAATAGAGTATCATCTGAGATTAGTACACGATGGTGTTCACACAATAGTGCTCTCGATGAAATCTCATCAGACAGGTAAATTTTTAGATGGTTTACAAGGTTGATGGGATACTATCTCCCTTATTCCCTTCCTCCATTTTGCAAACTTATAAATTTACTTGTCTGATAAGATTTTGTATACTGCCTGGTCTCAGTGAACGGGAACTAAAATACACTTGGACACTACTCGTACAATGGTTTTCTTTACTCGCCACTAGTATTTGCAGTTTTCGACAGACGATGGGTTGCCACTAGGATGTGATCTATCTGGTAAGCAGTGCGACTGTCAGTTGGTTGGCACCTGAATAAGTTTGTCGAGTCGATTGGGGTTGGCAAAGTTGATCAATGGATCACCGTCGTCGCAGCGTTCTCGTCGCCGAACACTCGAAGAATATGACGGGTAGTGGTGAATGACGCACGGGTTCTCGCGTTCTGTCCGCGAGCAACCCGCAGATTATCGCTCTCGAGTGTAAGGTTGTCAACTACTCGTAGCTTATAGTACGACCACGAGCAAGAAAGCAGCGTTGGTGGCTGTGACATTTAGGCTCCTAGGCTGTCTTTGAAATGGCTGGCTGAAATTAGCACCACTTCTCGTAAGTTCTGTGTAAAAAATTCAGCCCTCTTGAAAACGTCCCGCTGCTACCACCACGAAATGCTTGTTTGGGAACAATGGTAGGGTAAGGAGAAAAACTGGCTCTCACCGGTCCGGGTGTTTGTTTTTTTATGTTCCGAGAAAAGCTTCACCATAGTAGCATCATAGCTTACATTAGGGTGTCCATGTTGTTAGAAACGGCCTTTCTTCTCAGTCGTACAGCATTTCTGCGGACAAAAAACGTTCCAGTTTATTGATACACTTACGTAATGCCTGTTTTCCACGTCTTACATCGGCTTCCATGGCTGACAGAATCCTAGTCAGTATGTACACTTGCCGTGAACAGCACTTGCAGGCTGAAAACCAACCGAAAACACCTGCTTCTAATGCTTGGCGAGAAATAAATAGACTGAAACAGAAAATCTTGTTGAAGAGTTAGCATGCACTAAAGATACATTAGTAAGCATGTATGCACGGTAGTTTCTGCTAAAGATACATTAGTAAGCATGTATGCACAAGTAATTGAACGGTAGTTTCTATGAGGCGCGTGACCAGCTCACCACTTTACACTCTCTTCCACTCTGTTTCCAAACACTCATCCTAAAACCACATGTCGACAGATTACTTTTTCATTTTACTTCGCCGTACTACTTCTGTGGGCGGATGAGCCGACTTCAATAGTCTTTACCGCTTTCCACGAACGGTGGTCTGAATATAATACCGAATGTCATGGGTGACCTGAAGGTTAAGATGCTCAACCCCAATGGTGCCATTCTGCACAAGACGGTAGTGACGATGTAGTTTTGTTCGGTTCATTGTTGGCTTTAAGCAGATTTTGTCCAAACTGTTAATGGCACCGGCGTTGAATCGTTTCCGAGCGGCGTTTGAAAGATTCTTTGGATAATTTTTCTGCCCATTGCTCTCTGACTTTTGTTGTAAATACCATTGCAAAGGTCGTCAACTTGAAGGAGCTATCTGTGCCTCACAAGCATACGGATTGCAACATGTGAACCCTTAACTTGAGATTGATTTCTGCTCTCTTCTTTAAGGCTTTATTAGGCAGTACGTAGCTTGTGTTGTCTATGCGAACGGTGATTTCTCGCCTCGCCTCGCCATTTTTCAAAAAGAGTGAACCCAGGTATCCGGTGGAATCCACTTGAAAGGTTATTTCTCTATTGATCAAAACGGGCTAGTCTGTGCATTTGTGCTTTCGCATTATTTCTAATTCAGAAAGGGAATCCTGATTACTGATGTTATCGTGGAGTACGTGTAGCTCTACTGACACGCTGTACATGACGATAGTACCACAAATTCAGTCGTGACATGTGACTCAAAAAGTTGAACTTGATTGAACATACGAGTAGTGACTTAAGACATGTTCTAGCGTCAAAGTTTTAGACCCTTAAGCCACACGAGAATCCAATCCTCTTCCTAAACCCCAGTACGGAAAACAGGTGGCAATGGATTGCCATTAAGTCCGACCTAGAGTCAATATGTGATCGATACTACTGCTTCGCGACCTGGATCCTTTTTCATTTCGGTATACTTTTGCACCTCTTTAGTGAGTGGGGTGACGCCTGACTAATATGGCAAATGTCTCTGCTCTTACGTTTATCAGACTGATCCTCCCCATAGGTTTCACGAACTGTTTGGTTGCCCTTCTTTTGTAGGGATACCGGATAGGGGTTTCCGGTATTCTACACTTCAGAATATTCAACATTTCATCCATAGGCTTGACAACGGGGCTTTCAGTAGCATCACATACGTGTCAGCTGTTGCAACTGTTTTGGTTTATAAATGCTTCTGTCGTTTGTCCTGAGCGTCCAAAGTGACCCGGATACTTACGGACTCTACCAAAATACTGAAGCTTCCTTCGTTTAGCAATGACAGCTATTATTCCAAAGTCTAAACTGCTGAAACTGTTGCCCTATCAACATAGAATAACTTGATGCTGTTTGCTGTTTCAAGTTTCCTCGGTTCGAAGCTCTCAGCACTTGTTCATGGTGTTCTTCGACTGCATGTTTTGCACAAGCGGGGCGAGATGGCTCAAGTGGTTAGAGCGCGAATCTGCTGACCGGAATGTCCGAACCCGACCTCTGCCTCTCGATTTCCCCTGTCTAGGCTTGGACAACCTGTCAGTATCCCAGCCCTCGTGATTCCTTCGGGTTGCATGGCAACTAGGCACCGCAACTAGACTACGGCTGGCCGATTTTCTTCTGCACAAGAGCCGTCTCGTGTTCCAGTTGTCCCGATATCGAAGCATATTTTCTTGACACAACGCACTGCTGAAAACTCTTCGTAACGCTCTACCAGTTTCTTCCTGTTTTGGCTTGTCCAGTAGGTGCAGTCCCGAGTTTCTGTCAACCTTTTATCCAACTGAACACCAGCTTAATTTTCTTTCTTCGCATTGTATCAGAACTGAATTTCAAGCCGTTGAGGTGCATCATCTGGGGTTTCTGTACGGCACGACTCTTGTGCGTGCAGTAAATACCGGAGAAACATTTGTTTTACTCTGCCCTTGTGTTTCTCACAGCCACTGCGCGCGAACTTTTGAACAACACTCGAGGCAGAGTAGTTACCGGATCCACGTCTTGTTTCTATGGCCTAGATGGTGTGGGCCAGAAACTAATAACATCACTAGAGTGCAATTATTTATCACACTGACTACAGCTCCTTTTTCCTTTCACCCGTACAAAGTGTCGAGTAAGCGGCAGATCCGATCAACTGAACAGCGCGTGCGAAATATCGGTGCAATCCAAATAGCACATGATTGTAGTCTGATACGATGTGAGCTAAAATGGCGGTTTGTAGAGTGTGGTGGAAAGGTGAGGAGAGTTGTTCGGGTAGTGACAGCAGGCAGCTCACCTTGTCGAACTGCCAGCGATTGCCACAGATCTTGCTGCGTTCCGTTTTTGGTCTGTTACCTTTTGCAATAACAATTGCCGATCGTTTTTCAGTCAAATCAATTTCGTTTGTGGTTTTCAGGATGCACTTGTCATGTGAGGGCCGCGATACTTTTTGAAACCAAATGCCTATACGCTAAGGTATAACTACGTCAGATGCGTTGATTCAAACAATGACATTCCGTGTCACTTTTGTTCACCGAGCCAGTGTGGCTCTTCTCCGTGATGTCACAGAGCTTGTGCGCCTTTTCACCTAGCCTCTTCAGTAACCACTCCACTAGAGGCAGTGTAGGCAGACAACTACATTGGCCGTCCGTCACTGCTTATTGTGAAGTCTGTCCACGGAGAGCCAGCCCCCCCCCAGGTACCATATCTTGATGATGAATCGGTCACCCTTAAACACCCCCTAATATTAAATGTTAGTTGACTAGCGTTTTGTCGCTGCTTTTTGTATCTGCCGCTATTCCTCGCTCGTATACTTTCGTCCGTTGCTCATTAAACTTTGGCGCTGTCAGCGGAAATTTGGGCTGGAACACTACGCTCATTGTCTGACTCTATGATACTTCATCTTGAGAACAGCTTCTGTCGTTCTTTCTGAAAATGACATTTCACAACTTTGACGAAATCCGCTAGGTAGGTACACTTATTAGCAACAGCCAGAGATTCACAATCGAAACAAACAATTGGTCACCCTAGTGTTGACTCCGTCTGAGTGGAGGACTCCATTTGGGATCAATAAATATTATGATTTATGAAAAGTTTGAAGAGGCCTGCTTCGTCGATGGCTTTCAGAAGCACCCAGTGTTTTTCCTTGACCATCAATTCCCGAGCCTTCACCTTTGTTCTGATTACTGGCCACCATTAGTAAAAATCAGAATTAGTCAGTGCTTTGAAATTGTGATCCGTCGGCCCTCTTCTTACCTAATTTCGAGGGTGCTGGGAACGTCGGCCTAACTATTCATCTTGAATTCAATGCATGAAACTAATCAGTTCCATCGCCTTTGGACCGATCCTCTCTCCTATGAGTTTCATACTACTTGTTCGTAGTCGTTGTGGTGACTAGAAATTATCGAACTATTCAAAACTCTACCCTTTTGTCTACCAGAGGGAAACGGAAATGCTCCGGTTTTTCGAAGCCCGACGTGCCGACCATCGCAGTAGCTCTGTACACGCTGTGCGGATAGAAGATGCAAATATCCTCGGCCTGGTACGTTACTATAACGTAAATTTTGTATGCTTTTGCCGCTGCGATGGACTTTTCATGGTTGATGTATCCGTTCGCACTCAATCAGCGTTAGTTGAAAGCAATTCACTGGTCATCGGGTGATCTCACATGTGTAATTTTCCCAGCAGTTAGACAGCTTGAAGTAGTTCAGGAAGATGGCTAGATACACACCTAATCTGCCCGTTCGTGGCAGTCGACAGTTTCACCAGATGCCAGTAATGGACAACGTCTTCCTCAAATTCCACTTCCATTGGTGTAGGCTGTGTGCTATTTATTGTTCGATCGGTTACTTTCCGTTGATACTATCGTTTTCCCGGAATAGATCCCCTGTGACCCTCTCCTACATCTAGTTGATAGTATTACATTGTATGGTCGCCAAGCGATGTCAGTCGCTTTCATGCCATCCGTTCCTACCTAGTTTCTGTCTCAGTACAAAGAAATGGTTTTGCACCGATACGATAATAATACGGCTGTGGTTTCGTAAACGTCTCACCTGCACACCAAATGCGGACCTATGAAGGAAGCCAGCCTCACTTTCCACAATATCATCTTGTTCAGATTACACTTTAAGGCACCTCTAGCTCAATAGCTCCGAATTTTCACTCAACGTTGCGGGTGCATTTTTTGCAATACTGGAAGCTCGTCACCGTGCTCTTATCTGGTATATATCTTCAGTCTCCTTCTTGGAATAGCTTGGAATAGCTGCACTACTGAACACCTTGTTTTCGAGTTTCGCTGATTTCCCACATGGCAGCGAAACAGGCTGTCACGTGTTGGTGCTGAGTTGCTACCTTACGGTGCTATCATACGGCGTAATTGACCGTACACATGCCCAACGGTGGGTTCTAAATTGTCCAGGTTCTGTCAATTGTAGAAGGAAGGCACACAAATGGCCGTAGTCTAAACGGGGTTTAGCGGAATGTGTTCCAAGTCACGTCAGCGTCCATCAAAACATGTTGATGTGTGGCCCCCAGAGAAGTCACCACGGAAGAAGGGGGGTGTTTGTTACTTCAATCATCTTTCTTGGAGGAGAGGAGGGAGAGTTATTCAAAGCTCTCATTCAGGAACGCATCTATGCTGCTACTGGTGTTCCTGCTTATGTGAATGTTGCAAATCAGCGACCGTTGCAATGATGGAGGAAGCAAACCATCATTAGTTCATTCACTAGAGGGGGGAAAGCTTGATCTGCAACTGTCCATAGAATCAACTGGTGTTTCATCAGGAACTTATCGGTGGATGACTGGGCGATAAATGTGCTTCGTTCCCTGGGTGGTTGGCTCTCATTCGTAGGCACTACGAATTAAGTCTACAACCTCCATCCCTCAGAAATGGACCAAATGGTTAGAGCACGAATTTACTGACCGGGAGGTCGGTGGTTCGAACCCGACCTCTGCCTCTCGACTTCCCCTGTCTAGGCTTGGGCAACCTGACAGTATCCCAGCCCTCATGCTTCCTTCGGGTGGCATGGCAGTTAGGCACCGAAAGAGTGCTACAGCGTAACGAATTTGCGAAAAAATTGCATTCTGATCACAGTTCACCCTGCCTTCTTTCGGAACAGCTTTTTCAAGCAAACACTGGAGATGACATACGGAGCAAGCGCCAATAGACTTGCTCATCGTTAGGTCTGAGAAACAACCAAAGCTGATTGGCAAAAGTGGATTTGAGTGCCTGAAAAGAGATCAGGAATGTGCCAGTAAGCCAAAAATATCCATGTTTTGTATCTGGCTAATGGTAAGTCGGAATGTGTGGGCTAATCTATACTCCTGCATATGAGTGTACAGGACTAGCTGGTGGCAATATGAATAGTTTGTCGCTCCATTTCTCTGTACAAACCGTCATGTCTTCAGAAGAGCTTCTCTTTGTAAGGTCGTTGCTGTATTTAACTGTTTTGCCGTGGCATCTATTCAAGTCCTTGTTGGTGTGAACATCGAAGGGACTACGAAGACTGCGATCCTGTCAGGTTACCCAAATCTAGACAAGAGCAGTAGAAAAGCTAGGGTTCTGTTCGAACCGGTCAGTAGATTCGCGTCTCAACCGTGTCAACCAATCACGTCGCTCTTTTTCAACAATGACGATTTCTTTCTGTTTAACCGAACTTTAGATTCACCATGAAATGGCCCGATTACATGCCTCTGGACGGTTCGCCCCCCAGAGACCTGACGCAGTACGAAAGAATGGGTTTCTTGAAGCAGGTGAGGCTCCATCCGAGGCCGGAGCAGATGCTCTTGCTGCCTTGCACAAACCTGAGAACATCAACTGGGAGGCAGTGATTTTCCACGAAGAACAAGCAGTTATTCTTGGTTGCTTCGACGCAATTGAATGTATGGCACAATACTATCTTGGTTTGTTGATCAACGGACCTCTGGAGGACTGTCCAATCAAAGTGAGTAGGTTTTGCCGTGTTTTCATCTTGGGTTTTTTTTCGGACCCACCTTTTTCTAACAAACGTTTTTCTGCTGGCCAACGTTCATTCATCGTTTCACAAACATCATCTAATTCACTGGTCACAGTTGACTGCTAGTAACGTTTGTAGCGCACTGCAATCTTGCAACCAAACAAACTTTAGTTATCATGCGTGTCGATTTTTCTGAACGTGCCATCCTAACTTCCGTCACGGTCGTGAATTGCGCTTTTTTGACATCATTCATGCCACGTGACCTCCAATTGCCAACTGTTGGAGAATCACTTCAGCCGGCTAACTACCCAGACTGAACTGTCTTGTTTTTGCTACAACACAGACTAGATATCATTTTTACTCGGACCCATCAGTTTGTTTCACGATTTTTCACTCTTCACTAATCTGTGACGTAACTCGACTGCATCCCCAATTTCATGGTTTCATTTGTAGTTGTGACAAATTCAAAGCTCAGAATAGCCTCGTTGCTACAAGATTGCATTTTTAACACCTTTATTATTGATGGACTTCTGCGAAAATTCATCCGAAGCACCCGTTATTCAATTGCAGTCGTAGGCTTTTCATTCACCAGCCCTCACCAAAAGGTGTGACGGTTGCCCCCTTAACGGACCCCTCTGTTTTCTAGACGATTCGAATAGTGATTCCTCCATCACTTGTTTCCCCGTTCTTGGATTCCTCTTGTCCGAAACTTCCTTCCCGGTTTACTCGGAGTACAGATGGTCCGAAATGGGTCTCGCTTGTGGAAAAAGAATAATTCCATAATCTTCCGGTGATTGTTCCGCTTGTTTGAACATCATCTATTGGGTTTTCGGTTATTACGAAATCCGCACTTCATGCGGCATCATTCCCAGAAAGGTTTGCCCATACAGCAGCGCCAAAGAAGAGCACCCGAACCAGTTCATTCGAATGTCACAAGAGTGAGATTTCATGCTAATGGTTGCTTGGGTTGACGAAAACAACCTGAGTCGTTCTGCTAGACAATATTACCAGACCTCCTCACACCAGTATCAATCTCTAAGTATCTCGGGGAAGAATCGTCTCGCAAGGTGGGGCAAACTCCTATCTGATAGGTCGTCACTTGAGGAACAAGCCAATACGTGACCACATGATGCGGTTTCCGTGGTTGAAGAATTAGTGGCGCATTGTCCTGCCTGAGTAAGAGCTAATCACGCCCCTGATCACCCGGTTATGGCCAAACGGTTAACTATTCACTCATTGACCAGAAGGTCGCGGGCTCAAAACTCCGATTGTCGTGGGATTCGCATTACTGGCTTGATGGTTAAATGTCCTGCTTAAGTGAGTCACACTGCTGATCGAGCACTGGTGACCGAAAAGGTAGATATTCAAAACTCTGAGTTTCGTGAGGTATGTATGTTACTGATTTTCAATGCCTGTACAGTGCTTCCCGGCTTTTCAGCATATAGATTGGTTTCACTGACAGGATGAAATCCATACTGAATATTTAAGGTGTCCAGTTTGGACTACAGGCTCCCACATTTGTTAGTTAGAGACTGCTTGTCTATGGAAACCGGTTTGGATGCCTGTCAAAACGCCAAATATATCTCGACTGTTGGTCTACTGGCTCAACTCACTGCCCACTTTGGACCATGACAGCTGCGCACCTTATTGATTCTCGCATTGACAAAAATAGTCAACTGCACCGATTGCACCTCTACATCTTATCCTGATGGATCACACTACTCACGTTTTTGCTGAAACTTTTGACAACTCGTTAAGTTTTGTCCTCCTTGGAGCTCACCAGGTAGGTGCATTCTCCGAGTTTCCGTTAGCCTTGTCTTGTAATTGAACCCCAGTTTCCACACATGTGATAAGATACACCCATCTGCAAATGAAGATGATGTATCAACAGTATGTTCCGCGAAAAAACTGCACTGCAACTTCTTAAGTAGTGAGTTCAACCCGCAATCCTTATAGTCATAGTTGGGTGCTGTACTGTTTTGTCACGAATTACTGATCAGTGTGATTCCCCCCCCCACACACACACACACGCCAAAGCCATTTGCAACGTTTGTCATGATCATCTCGATAAGAACCATGTATAATCAGATCTCGCAGCCTTTTTTATTATCTATGAAGTCAAGAATGACCTGTCTAGAGAACAGAAATCTCATGGGGATGTTGTGGAGAATGCTTGCCGTGAACTTTCCTCTAAAGCTTTTCTCATGAGTATAACTGCACAGGAGACTTAGTCCACATATAAGTAAACCGGGTAGCCTGAATGTATTCCCCTCACCACTGACGTTGTCATCACCTCGGGCGAGTTCATTGTTTACACCGTAATTGACATATCGTAAAGCCACGCCTGGGTGGGTTATGTTGCGGTTGGTAGCTAGCATTTGAACGATTTCCTTGGTTTCTCGTGACAGTTGCCAGAGTACATAGACCCCTACATCATGAACTCACTGAAACTCAGTTCATTTATTCGTATTTGAATTTTGGAGATCGTGCTAACCTGTAAAATTTCCACAGGATTGGTTCTAACTGGGCTTGGGAATTGCAGCGTGTGCGCGCGGGTGAAAGTGAATCGCCGCATAGCTCTTAGTTTGTTGATCCTGACAGTCCCCGCAAGATTGAATTCCATTAGTGCAAATTGCCGGGGTCACGCGAGAAGCTGACTGAAACCTGCGGATCCAAGTTTGAAACATTTCCACTGGTCACGTGACCAAGTCATATTGCCTTTAATATGACCCCTTGAAATTAGGTTACAGCGTGGTAGATTGTGGTTCCTTTGGCACGAACTAGATCCTAGTTGCTGCTCGCTTTCAACCCTCCTTTACTGAGAGATTATCTATTCACGTTCATCGCAAGTTTGCTTTGTACTTGCTCAGAAACCCGATGACCGAAACTTACGAAGGGCAGCTCGACTGACTTACCTCTTTACGATGCAAATGGTCGATCGTCGAGGCACATTGAACAGAAATTTCTGCTTCAACCCAGGTTAAATTTAGCTAGAAAGCTGCCCTTTTCTTCCAAGTGATTCGGTAAAGCTCCCATTTCCGCCATTTATGGTATGTGTGTGTGTGTGTGTGGCTCCGAACTCATGGGACTGATGCTTCTTCCAACAATGAGTACACTAAAGACACTGTCCTTCTCAGTTGTCCGTCCTCCCAGTTGCAGGCAATGTCGGATCATTTTAGAAAGGAGGGAAGTTCTCTTCGGAATGTGGTTTGGTTATTTTTCAATTGTCAAGTCATACTTCAGGGTAAAGTCGGAAATACTCCGACATGATAGGTGACCTGTTTGGTGTTGTCCACAAGTTTGCCTACTAAAAATGTGTTGGACTTCCACTTCCATGATGTGGATGATGCAGCTTGGGGAATGACCAGGGTGCACTCTGCGTATGCTCCATTAGGTCAGTTGTGGCGCTGAACAGATGTCAAGTTATGCCATCGGTCGTTCTCTACGGCTCGAAAACTCGCCTCGTCGCGGACATGCAGACGAAATCTCAGCTTTCGGCCGTCGTTGCCTCCTTCAGCAGTTTTGGTCAAACTAACTGATCGGACAAGACGAAGCATAAGCTTACATTTGTCAACGAGTTAAGTGCACGGCCAATAGTCAATCTACCGCAAATTTATCACCCTTCCTGGCTAGATCAGTTTTTCCACGAATGTACAGAGGGCACTAGTCACCACGTCTCCATCTGACGGGTAGGCAGTGGCCTGGGTAAGAGGTGAGTAACACTGGCCGATTTTTCTGCCGGGTTAGGGACTAGGTGAAAACCTCCATAGCATAGCTACCGTGTCACTCGAAGGAAGCACGAAGGTCGGATAGTGCATCACCATCTTCACTGTCAGCTGTAAGAACCGCGTACTTGTACAGTGGTTGTAGATGCCACAATTTCGTTCGCCGATGACTTGGGGAAGTGGGGTAGGTAGCTACGCATTGCAGGCGGGAGCTGATAAGTTGGTGCGTACAGACAGCAGTGTCAGTGGACTGTTAATTGGGGGATTGGGAAGGCAGCTAGGCATTGAATGCAATAGCTTGGATGCAAGAGCGCCATTGAGGACGCAACTGGGCCATGTCTGACAATGTCTTTAGCCGTTGATGTGGCCCGTCTCGGGGTCCCCATCCAAGAAGACAACAGGACCAACGCACCTGAGTTTGCGGGTAATGGCTTTTTACTTCACTGCCAAGTCATTAGTTGATCGCCGCTGGCTCTCTTCCACCCTTCACGTGGTTATGCGAAAAGAACCCTTCGAGGAAGTTGGTCCACTGGCATACGAGGCACATGACCAAGCCAGCGCATTCCATGCGGTGTGATCAATCCATCGACCGAGGGTTAGTTATTTCTTCCGAATACCATTCGACGTACTTCAGCATTACTCATCCAGTCCGGTTTTCTACCTTCCTTCAATTTCCATTACTCATGGTCAGACCGAACTCCACTCCTGTCCATTCGCTTGATAGGTTTATCTCTGTGCGCATGTACAGTATTCCCACTTTTCTATTCCTCATACCAATTTATCAGTTCACAGTTTTTCTCATCCCACTGTTTCATGCTGGTGATATTGATTTTCAGCCCGATCCTGTCGAAGCACGCATCCAGGGCCTAACCTTAATTTCTGCGGCTGCTGCCGCTCAGGATCGCCGCGCCATGCTTTATCTGGCCGAAGTGAACTACACTGGCATCGGCAATACCCCGACCGAACAAAACGGCCCAACACCAGATTGGGTTACGGCAGTTCACTGGTACGAGGCGGCTGCAAAAGCAGATGACGACGAGGATAACGGGATTGAACGAGGTAGCCAGAGAGCTGGCTACGACTCAATGAGTAGTGAATGGCCCATTTATCGACTACATGGACGTCTAGCTGAGATGTACTCCAAAGGAGGTTACGGACTCAAGCGAGACTGCACGAAGGCCTGTGAGTGTGGTTCAATTCGTTAGATTTGTCACATGAAGCAATAATGGTTCAGCTGTAACATCCTTTCAGTGCCCAGCTGCCATGCCACCCAAAATAAGCACGAGGGCTGGGATACTGCCAGGTTACCCACGCCTAGACAGGAGAAGTCGAGATGCAGAGGTCGGGTTTGAACCATAGTTTTTTTCGGAACCCTGCTACGTACCGGCTTCCTGCGTGCATTTCTACGATCTGAGGTACGACCACATCGCTCTCCGCTGTTACTGTGGGGATGGGAATCATTTGGATAACGGGTAGATAGCAAAAGTAATAGCTACGTGTATTGGTCCGTACGCGAGAAACTCCTTGAGGACATTCCACCCTTCAGCCGAGATACCTCAGTGTTCAATGCGTGAGCTTCCTGGCCGGAAGCTCCGTGTTTTCAACCTAACATCTGCATCTCGACTGCTCATTTCTAGGCTTTGGCAACCAAGCAGTATCTCAGCCGTCGGACTTCCTCTGGGTAGCATGTCGGACGTTATTAACTGAACTCAACATTGTCTTTGGTATGCACAAAAGACATTCTATGTTCAGGTAACTAGGTTCGGGACAGGATTTCACTTCCAAACTTTTCAAAACCAGTTTAGATTGTTCCAACGTCTTTCTGTCTTTGGCAGCTGTGCTCAAGGTAGTCAAACTCACCGATTGGGATTAGTTGGTGTACTTTTATTCCTTAGTTCTATTGGTAGATCTCTTTTCACTAACCAGAATGTTACTCAGTTCAGCGCCTGAGAAGTGCACTACTTGTCAACTTGCTGACTGTTCTTCGAGACATTCTGATGGTATATGTCGAACTGGAGTTTCACCTTTTCAGACTTTCCCGTAACTCAGTTGTTTACGGTACGCAAAGCTGTGTTTGCTTGTCGATTAGTAGTGACGCGCCTGTGTGCACTTGTCTTCCTCGGATGACCTCTCTAAAACGTCTTTTCACCCATCCACACCTCTTGCGATCACTATAAGATTAGATAGGTTCAGGTTACGTGTTCAAGCAGACGGGGTCAAACAAGTTGATATAAATCAGTCCATTCATTTGTGACCGATCGTCTGATCCGATCAGTCAATAAAATAAGGAATTCGGTACAGCGCTCACCGTTAATTCATTTCACTTAATTATGCAGATTAGCTGAGGTCAGGCTGCGCGTTCCAACGAACATAGGCAGACAAGTGTGCGTCAGTCTACTGATTCTGTTTATCAACAAAGTGTTGAACGTTTATGCATCTCAATCATGAAGCCATAGTCAGTTTTACGTCAGTACAAGTGTACACACTTTTTTCATCCCACAAATTCGAACGACTGGGCTGAAATTTGATCTCTCTGCCGGTACGCACCATTGGTCAAGTCGTAGTAGGTGTGGTTAAACTAGTTTGAATGAATCAAGCGATTTAGAAACCAGTGTCTCTTTCGGGTGGCATGGCAACTAGGTACCTGAAGCAGATCCGATGATTGTTATGGCAGCCGTTCGATCGCCTCATGACATCCTCACTGAACAATATTGTGCTTCATCGTTACCCGTAACAAGGTCGGTGCGAAGCACTTGTAATTCATTAACATACCGATTTGTACAGATTTATGTACTTGGGCTCTGTGACAAAACCGCGGGCTTGTCAGCGATCCAATATACCACGGACTAGCAACCGTAGACGTGCCCGTGATGTATAACTCACCGACTCGCTTTATTATGGGGCTAGCACATGTTGTCTCTGACTCAGTAATCTGATCCACTAGTCAGCAGTACTAGGTTGCACTTTTTCTCCGCCGGACGTTCTTTGAGTTTTACTCTTGTAATGTTAATTGATACCAGTTTGTTGACGTAGAATAAGCGTGTCTATGCTGGAACGCTTTTGTCTATTGATTTCATCTCGTGCTGTTTTGTGTCCTGTCCCCATTCTTCCCCTAGATCAACTGTTTGAATCCGCAGCTGAAGGAGCAACTGAAGCGATGATGGGACGTCTAGCAATGCAGTACTATGAACAGGCAGCGCTTCTGGAAGAGTTTTGTGAAGCTTCCAGTTGATAAACTGTGGAACCCTACCACACCATGTAGCATAATAATAATACAAGTATTGCCCCAAGGAGGACACGTTCGACACGCCTTTCCGGTGCTCAACACAACTACTCTCTGTGCCTTGTATATTTCTTTTTTTTTGCCGCTCAACCGCCCAGTTGACTTGCAAACAAACATTCATTTTGTGCACTGAGAAGGTGATTACACTGTAATATAGAAGACAATAAACAGTCCTACCTTCTCTGCGATTTCTGATGGACGATCACCTTTCTCTTCTGTCGCGTGAAACTGATTTGCTGGCCTGATGCCCTCTGATCCGAGCGTTTGTTCCGCGCCTGTTTCTGAGCTTCTAGACCCCGAAGAACTCCCGTCTCTCACACCCGGTTTGCATTTTCTGATATGGTTCAAAACAGAGTTATTGTTTTAAGATCCAAAATCCTTACCTATCACCGATTGACATGCTGTTTTGATGCAACTTTGTTCTGATTGGATTTGGGTACCTGTATTTTCATGACTGTATACAAGACTTGGTTCTACGCATGTGCTCTCAGTTTCATTCCAGTTGATTACGTAAACTATGCGTCGTCATACCATAAGATTCCTAACTGCACCACAGGAAGGACAAGACATGAATTCCGTCAAATCAGAGCTTAAGGATGGGTGGCTGATTTGTCAGGTCCCGACCACAGCCTGTTCACCACGGCCCGGATTCTGAATGACCAACTCCGTCTTACGTTCATCGCGCAGTCGTGAGCGTAGCGGTGACCGGTGCGCCGCTTTTCTTACCTGCCCTGATAAATAATCGATAATGGGTTTGTGAGATCATTTGCAACTACTATGTTTGATCTCGAGGCTATCGCATGTGTACATAGCTTATTAACTCGATATTACTCAGCGATTAACGCGCGAACGTACTGACGATAAGGCCCGAAGTCCGGATTCACGCCCTGACATCCCGACTGCTTCTATCTACACTTGGGCAGCCTGACACTATCTCAGCTCTTCCTTCCTTCCTTTCTTCAGGTAGCATGGCAGCTGGACATGGAAAAAATTCGTGGCCGAACGATAGATTATATAGCCTATTAAGAGCTGCTTAGCACATGGACCAGCGGTTTTGAAACGCATCAAGCTTCAGCGGTTGGACACGCATGCTGTCGTTCACGACACACGAAGTCAAATACAACACAGTGTTGTAGGTCACCCTAACGGTGGGTGGGTGCGCTTCAGGGAAGGAGCTGCCCTTTGAACTATGTTTGGCTACTAGGCTTATCTATAGGGACCGATTTTTCCGTAGATAACTAAATTCCCCGTTTTAGTTCACTCCGGAATTTTTGACAAGAGAAATAGTCATCCTCGGGACGATACGCAATTGGTTGGGTTTGTGTATCCTCTAGAATCGATGAACTTGTTAGGTAAGTCTAGAAAACAAAATGCGACATCTCGCATGTCGTGCCAACCACAAGACGGGACTGGTTTTTCTCAGTGTATGCAGTTGAGGAATATGAAAACCCAGAAATTCAGTTGAGTCTCCCATTAACGCTAAAGTGTTTCGCAAATTGGTGTTCCGCCCGTCACGTACAATTCGACTTTCAAGTAGATAATGAGGTCGCAAGAGATTTCGGTAATGCACTTACCTGATGAGCCCCAAGAAGGGCGAAACCGATATCGGGTCGTCCAGGAGTTCTTAGGAAACTTATGAGGAGCTCTCTGTACCAACAAAAATCAATGTGGTCTAAATACAGGGCCGCTGATTGTTTACCGAACGTTTCTGGAACGATGGGTTATTGAAATCTGAAAACAAGGCTTTTGCGATAGCTAGCCGATCGTGCGTTGGCCCTTGACTCAAAAAGTTCCCCGAAACAACCGCACCATACATTGTGGTGTAAACGTGTTGTATACGGCTTATACCTTCAGTAACACTACGACGCTCAATCTGCGTGACTCCGAGAGCATCGGACGGGATCTCGATCTGACAGAACACTCGCATTGTGTCAGTTGTCTAGACAGATCTCCTCAAATTCAACTGCGCGAATAAGTAGACCCTTGTGCATATGCTCAGTCAACGGGGGATTTTGTAATCTATCAGCATGGAAGACACTCCAGGGGACCATTAAACCAGATATCGAAATAGCATTTGGGGAAGGAATGGCGTACTTGGATTGGGTTACAGCACGGGTTGTGGCGTATGTGTAGAAACGGTATTTTTCCTCAGCTTAGTTCTCGGTCTGAGCCTCCCAAGCTAGCGTTCACGTCAAAACAACCACCAACGGTGCACAAGGTCTATTAATGCCCAAAACGAAGTCAAGAACAGTTGTACAGCGCTTCGTATATATAGCGTAAGCGGTTATAACCTTCTGGAATTTCTGACGCGTTCTGGATGCGCCATTGGCAACCGGCATTTGGCCAATATTGGGTCATGATTGGCTGTTGGGTTCAGATTGTTGACCAATCAGATCTCGTCTTGATGCCGGACCGGCAAGCGTCCCGAATTCTGGACCAACCTCAAGCGGGCCAGACTTATCGGCCGTAGCAGCGCCTAAAGACGTTCGGTATAGGGGGATCCGCGTGGATTCCTGCCTAACAACACGGAAGCCACATTGTTTTCCAGGGCTGTCTGCTTCCGTCACTTCAGTATTCACTTGGTTGAGTAGACCCTGTAAGTAGAGTTTTTCCGCGTAGGGGGCAAACTGATACTTCTGTAGCTGTCAGGTGAAGTCTTCTTTTTCATTTTTAGAGTGGCGCTAATAATGCATCTTTGCATTCTGCTAAGACTTTCTTTTCCAGCCAGATCGTGATCGCCAGCTGGAGAACTGCGTTCTCCAAAGTCGGACATGTACTGCCACCACCACATCTTTTTCAGCTGTCCGCAATTTCATGTCCGTTTGCCATATATTTCGATAGTCGGAGGAAGGTCCAGGAACAGTTCCACTGCTGGCTGAGACAGCCTATCCACTGCAATCGGGTCGGTATGTTCGGTAGTCTGTTAATACGATTGCTCCAGACCTCATTTTCGTAAAAGACGTCTGTTCCAATCCTGTGTCAGCGTACTGGACAGTTTTGGTCGATTTGGTGGTCGGCCCATAGATGGTTCACTTCGCTTTTCCCACCATTTGTCCTTGATGCAGTTGAGTTGCCGGGTCAGGTCGTTTTGAACAGTTTCTTGCCTCCTCTGTCGGGATGAGCAAGAGATTGGGAAAGTGTTCCGTTTTTTCCAGCCACCAAATGTTTTATGTGCTGGTAGTTGTTGCTAAACCAGATAGGGCATCTGAGACATAGTTGTCCGATCTCGCTGACTGCCGTCTCCACCTGTGCTTAAACTGGGCTGGATGGACTGAAGGCTGTCAGAGTGGAGGTCAGTTGCTGCTGGTATGTCGGCCTGATCTTTGGCTCTTTGCGGTGGGTACCTAAGTTTTTATGTGTTCACTGATGCGGTTTGCCCAGTTTGGCTTATGAATGTGGATTTTAAGGTTTGTTTGGATAAGCTTGTGGTCTGCCTCACACTAGGCTCGTCGTTTTACCGGTGTGGTTCACATCTCCCGAACGTCTTGCTGACTGCCGATAACGTTATTGAGACAAAATCTTATGTCGGTGATCGAAGGCGCTCGGATAACATGAGCTTAGAAGTCGGTCGGTCGGTATTTACAAGGCCGATGCCATATTGTCCGAGAACACTTGGTCACAGGGAACGATCTCAGCAGATGTTGAAGTACACTAAGTCTCCTAACAAGAGACTTTTGTCGTTCTTCGGAGCTGATCGCTTACCAACTTCGACGTAGAAGTCGTCTTTTTGGTCACATGCAGAGCCTAACGTTTCAGCGTGTGCAATGATCACGATCAACCTCAGACGCAGTAAAGCAGAGTTCTAAGTCGGGAATTTTTCGTGGTACGATCGAAGTGGACAAGATTGACACCATGATCCCTTTTTTCCTAACGACTGGACGATCCAGTAGAATATATACCGGTATCAGAAATCATGGTCTCAGATGGACAATAACCGTGGAGCAAGTGTGATTCTTGCTTGGACACAATCTAGCTAGTCCAGATCATTCATCGTCCAGAGCAGGGTGCCTGATATGAATAGCTAGCTGAGACGAGTCGGATAAAAACTAGTGTTAAGCTAGCATTCTGGGACAGGAGCATCAGTGAAGTTCACAAAGGTTTGCACACACACGATAGGAAACTCAGAAATCAATAAGGCATATTAAAGGACAGCACAGTTTTATATAACATGCCAAACTAAGTTTGCGTAGCAATTACCGCAAACTCCATCCAGCAACTCAAGTCAGGGGCTTTCAGCAGCCACTCATATGCACATAGCGTAACACACCGATCACAGCGCAAATGACCAGTCTCTAGGCGCATTGTTACTATTTTACCGTCAGTAATTCCTCAAATAAAGCCATCCTCGGTGGTCGAAACGTTGGACAGCTCCATTTAGTATACGCGCTGTGTAGTCACTAGTGTTTTCACCACAGTGTTTGATGTGATGACCCATTTTAATTACGTTTACTATCACAACCTCAAACCAGCCAGGCTGTTTTTCAACAGTCCAGTTCATTTTTTATCGCTAATGGAGTATATGCATGATTTGATTATGGTCGTCACAACATTTGATTAACGATTTAGTGAAATCATCGGGACTAATTATGATTAGTAAACTACAAAAACTAGGGTCCGAGATTCTATTGAGGGTAAGCGAATCGACACAATACCACAATGGACTGAATGATTTACCTAGGCGAGACTTTTTTTGGAGTAGTTGTCTTTCCTTTTTCCCCGATCAACTTCCCGTGAAAGCTCGTCTCGGTAAACAGTGTACGGCGAGGCTAATGTTCACTGTGCGTATGAGCTTACGTAACTGGCATAACCGCACCAAACCATAACCACCGAAAACCCTAGGTCTCTGAAGTTCTACGACTGCTTGCATGCTGTTAGTGTGTGGTTCTTCGGGGGTATTACTGGACAGTTTTGTTTCCGATACACGCTCAAGGTAGCTCAGAGTAGAAGAAGTGAGTCAGCAATGAGTACCTCCATGATACGAACTCAGCCCTGGCTTTCTGATTGCTTAGAGATTTTGGCATTATCTTATCCTCTATACATTCTCCGGGTTGCGTTGTGGCTATGTGCCGAAATGGTGCCGTAACTAAATGGCGTAGTTTAGAATTAGACCTAGATGTATTATCTTTATTCATAATTCCAGCTGATCTGATCTCCTCGTCTGACTTTATGCTGAACGTGCGTCGTGCTGCATCGCCCTCCGGCAAGAAAGGCAGGGGGTCGAGGTAGCCCAGCGGATTAGTAGAACTTCACCCTTCATAAAGCATTGAAGTTCTCCCCTGATATGGGGCATTCATTTCTTGTTTTGAGCCATGTTTTCAGGAAGTTGTACATCCACTGTTGGAAAATGGAAATTCGAAAAAGGGTCTCACTTTGTGTCATAGCAATC